GCATAACGAAGACTACAGACATATTTAATTCTTTCAAAATCTTATTCTTTATTTACTACAAAAAATCGAAAATAAATTAGGGCGATGTATGCGAGTATTACAAGTTAGACGCTAGGGGTTTATAGAAAAAATTGACCTTTAATAAAGCAAAATTGATTTAATAGTTAAATCTATTTCATAAATTGTCATAATAGAAACTATCGCAAGACAAGAATAAAAAGTGTTGTGGGTAGTATTGATAATTTTAAAGGAAATACGATCTTAATTATATGTGTATTTCAGGGATATTCGACTAGTTTCTAGTTTTAGTTAGCGTTTGCTAGCCCTTTATAAACGTCGTTATGTACCACTTTATAAACCATGTTAATAACCTTGAAATTGACTTTTTTTATGGAATCAAACGAGCAGACGGGTCACCTGATAGAAAGCGACTACCGCCGCCCATGAACGCCTGCAACTCAGGAGTCACAAGCGCGTTGCCAGCCTTTGAAGAAAGAGTACGCTTTTTTCTTGAAGGTTTGAAAGTCATATCGGTCCGGAAATACCGCAGCCGATAACTTGTTCCACAGGTTGGTAGTGCGAGGTATTAAGTGCCTTGAATAGCGCACAGAGGTGGAGCGCCAGTTATCCAAGTCGTGGGGATAAAAAATTTGCCGTGTGGAACGATGGCGGAAGGTTGCGGCCGGTATTAGTCCGAACAATTCCTCGAAGCACTCTCCGTGATATATACGATAGAGACTGCTACAGTTGTTCATTTGTTAACAAAATAAGATGATCCATGTAAAAAAAGCCGTGTGGTGTCGTGGGACACCCGATAGGAACGAAGTTGTGACGATCGAGTAAAACTGATTTGACACGATTTTAATTACAACGCCATCTATGAAAGCGGCTATTACCTACATATTAAAAACAATTAAAACAATTTTTACATTGGTAAAATCTCCTTGCGAAATGATTTCCTATCTATTCGATAGATGGCGCTGAATGTCTGACAAGATGACACGAAAATAAAGAGCAAAAAGCCATCACGTGTAACATCACGTGGTATTCCCAGGCGGTCACCCATCCAAGTACTAACCACGCCCGATGTTGCTTAACTTCGGTGATCGGACGAGAACCGGTGTATTCATCATGGTATGGACGTTGGCGAACGTTAAAGCAAATTCAATGTATGGTATCCACAGTTAGACGTAAATTTATATTAAAAGTGTCGTTCCAAATTTTCGTATGAATTTTTTCCGTCTAGCCCCCTTTCACAACGCGCGATAAGGAACTTCGTTCCAAAAAATGTATCTTATTCAGCTGTGTAACTTAAGCCACCAAACCAACAACACTTAAACGTATTTAAATCACATGTCAACACTAAAGCAGTGGTACAACTCATTAACTTGTCAGATGTGAACGCTCACTACATAATTCCGATATGTTATATTAGTTGTGAGTAATTGACAACGACCTTACGGAGTTAAGTAACTGCTTGTACATCCAATATTGTCGTTTGAGTTAACGATGTCTCGCGTGTGGTCAACTATTGTGGGGCTTTGGAAACGGCGTGTTTAGGGGATTACCGATTAGGAATATTATTAAATACTAGTTCTATAGGTGTTTTAAATTTTTAACTAAAGGTTTTAAGTTTAAGTTATAATATATTTCTAGTCATTATCAACACTTAGTTTTTTTAAGCTTTTTTTGTGCGCGTTTAATACGCCTCTGTGTGAGGTACAGCTCAGGATAAAAGACGTGAGTGTATGTATGTGTGTATTAATTTTTATTACTTTTAAGCAAAACACAACACACACACATTTCTCATCACCAGACTTTTAGTAGTAGTAGAATAAAAATAGTTTAAAAATACTTTTTAAGGATAATAAATATATTACATCGTTTGAACGAAAATTCCATACACCTAGCAACTCAAAATAGACTTGTATAGTGCTGAATTATTTTGCGAAGTATGTCTTCTGAACTTGATTTTCTCCTCAATAATTTAAAAACAATGTTAATTAAAGTAATAGTGTTATTAAAACGCTCTTTTCATAACTGCATGTTTAAATAGATTGACTTTAACTAAACTCGTAATGAACTTGTAAAACCATTTGTTTTAACTATAGCTTTTAACTTAAACAAATACCTTTTTTAATGATACTTTAAGAGTACATTACCATTTCTTTTAAAACCACTTAAGTTTATTGAGTGTTAGTAATGGAACTTTTTTTTATTAAGATAAATACCTAGAGGTTGCATGTTATATTACTGAAACAATGACTAACAAGCTTTAATGATTTAAAATCATGTTTAAATTCTTGTAAGTTCATGTTATACACTTGGTGTTTACCCATTTTATGTCTTTTGGATAAACCAAAGGACATAAAAGTAATTTTTGGACCAATACGATCTTCAAACCTACAAGAAAAGAGCGTACTCCTTCCTCAAAGGCTGGCAAAGCATTTGTGACTCCTGAGTAGCAGGCGTTCATGGGCGGCGGTAGTCGCTTTCCATCAGGTGACCCGTCTGCTCGTTTGCCCCCTATTCCTTAAAAAAAAACAATATAGATAAGTACTGCTTAAAAGTAACAATGGTTTTGTTAGACATACATAAATCTATTTATAATACAATATCATACATGTATTGAAAACAACAATTTTAATTTTGTATATTTTTTAAATGTCTAAATAAGACGAATGAAAGAACATGGTTACAATTATTAAATGTGTTTTGTAAAATAGGAGATAATACTGAGATTTTCTATAGAAAAGGATTTCGCACTGTATAGCAATAAACGTCACGTCCAAAACGTACGATATTATGAATTTACTGGAATCCTTTATTCATATTAATAAGAGTGGTGTTATCTTAAAAAAAAACATAATTTAAAAGAAGACATAATACATGAGGTAAGACAAATGTCTTGTCTTAGAAAACTTGATGTAAATTAGATTTATGACACTACTGTTTTTTTACCCAATAAATGAATAAATAAATAGGCATTGAGCAAGACATAGACATATTAAGTACTAATGATGCAAACAATTAAGAAATGTACTAACTGGGTTTTTTTTCGGTTCAGGTAGAACTAGTAGAAAATTTGGAACCGAATAATGGATTGCATAATAATTAATAGTAGAACTGCATATGAGAACTCTGTAGCATCGTGGCAGGGTACTGTTTGTGTACACGAGGCGGTTCTCACATGATACCAGGGCCTCAATTCTGCTATTTTATGTTCACGCCAAGCCACTGTCATACCACTGACACGCTATTGAGATGCCATCGAGTGGCCATTGGCATCGGTATAAATATGGGTAGTTGAAAATATATTACGTTTTTTGAGGAAATGATTTATTTATTTTTATTATAATAAATTATTAAAAGAAATAAATAAACTATTAAAAAAATAAAATTATAAAAAAAAAAGAAAAAAGGCCCAGAGCGGTGGCGATGGCGGTAAACCTGTGCAAAGTTCGACTCTGTCTGTATAGCAATAGATTACGTGTCAGAATGAGAATAGAACAATAAATTTACAATTTTTATTAAGGTTATTTACTATAATTATTATGTACAACAATAACCAACCGCAACACGTCCATAGCAAGCGTATCACACACAAACACTATTATAGATGAAATTCATAAAATCTTACAAAAATCTCTTTTATTCTTTAGACTATAAAGGAACACAGTCAATACTTAATTTAAAGGTTATTTACAAAGGATGGGTACACGATATTACTTAAAGCTATACCACGAGAATTAGACAGACGATATGTCACTCCTCACCCGTCGCTAGATACTTGCGTAATAATTTGGTTTAAAACATAACTCGATAAACACTTTCATTTTTTTTTTCATTAAAAAAAAGACAAGTCCCGCATTAGGAATATATCCTGTATGGCGGGGGACTTTACAAACAAACATAACACGGACACAAAGAACACCCAGACTCAGAACAACAATTTGTGGATCACACAAAGTGTCGTCCCATGTGGGGTTTGAACCCACAACACTCGGCGTAGTAGGAAGCGGCGTGGCGACCGCTTAAACCACTACGCCATTCGTGCAGTCTGGCACACTGTTAGTAACTAATAAGGGGTCAAGATCCGATTTGTGCGAGAAATCTATCAACATATAAAAACTCTATTAAGTAAAAGATGATAAAATAATACGTCAGACATTGACGGCACGGCCCTTTCGCGACTATTAAATAACTTTTAGTGATTCACTCATTCAATGTGATTCACGATGATTTCTTTCTTTGAATAGGTATAAAATTAAATCAAAGTTTTTTTTAATGACTAACCTAAACAATCCTACGATTACATTCAAAGTAAGTGAAAGATCTATATTCCTAATTCACTTTCAGTGAGATTCATCATCAACACATCAACAGCCTTTAATAGTCCACTGCTGGACATAAGCCTCTCCTTAGAAAGAAGGTTTTGGCCTACTGTACCACGCTAGCCAGACGGGTTGGTATAGGGTCTGTGTCAAGTTTTCCTTCTCTCTGCAGTGCTGTTGTCCTGTAGTTTGCTCCCTTAGTCGGCTCTTACGACACCCACGGGATGAATAGGGGTAGTGACACTGTATTCTTAATCCGTCACCACACGGTGAGATTAATACTTTCTTTGTCCCGGATTTTCGCTTCTTAATTTAAGCTATTAATTTTAATATGGAGAAACGAATATGATCCTTAAGTTGATCTGTTTAATGTCCATTATTGCATGTAGAAAAATAAGTTCATCTCATATATAAAATTCTCGTGTCACAATGTTAGTTACCATACTCCTCCGAAACGGCTGCACCGATGATTATGAAATTTTGTGTGCACATCGGGTAGGTCTGAGAATCGGCCAACATCTATTTTTTATACCCCTAAATGGTAAGGGTGACCCATCCCTAACTTTTTTTTTGTTTTGCAATACGTTTGTCGGGTCAGCTTAGAAATATAAGTAACGCAGGTGAGTGTGGTATAAAGCCTGTTTAATTCCAGTGGTTCAATAGTACTTATATACAAGACTCTTGGACACGGTGTGATGTCGTCACGACCTCTGGTCGTAGTCGATGGGCTGTAAGCGAGGACGTTACACCTGTTGCGGAACTAGGACTACACGCATTCACACCCTTGTTCACGCGTCCTAAACTATGGTACGACTGTAACAAAAAAAAATTATGTAGTTTTGCATGCTAATTACGTAACACAGACTACTACGAATATTCAGACATTTTTTTGCATCAAATTTAATATATATATGACTGGGCTGTTGGTGTAGTGGTCACGTACAGACCAATAATAAAGTTGTACACAAATATGTATCTATTTTATCAAATTCTAACCAGAGTTTAATCGCCATAATGTTTATGAGGTATGGAATTGCTTTTTGATCTTGACTGTTTTATGATAATTTTCATTGTGCGATTCAGGGTCAACAGTGGTTAAATAGTAGTACTAGATGTCGCTGAAGTATATATTTTGGATTTACATGTATATCTTCACAAAATAATAAATGTCAATCCTGGTAAGAGTTACTTTTGGAAAATATCTTAGATTCTGAATCGTAAGTTATAAAGGGACTAACTTTACTTTGATATTCCATAAATTAGTACAGGATAGATTATTGGTAGATTTGTACATAGTTAATTAAGTTTTCTTTGAATATTACTTACACTAGTTAAAGGTATCCTATAATCTTTTTTTCTATAATCTGTGTAGTAGGCGCCCCCGTCCGGCTCAGAGCGGACATCGTCACCATTGAGTTTAGTGATCTTGCCGGTAGATGGCGGCCGTTGAAGACTCATATACCCGTTGGATACTGGCCTCCGTTCTGTCCCAAGAAGACCAAATTCAATAAATTTTAAATGGAAGGAATGCTGTTGTTAAAACACATAGTATATTTAAAAGTACATCAATATTAGTGCCGTGAAGACAGATGAGTTTTTTTTTTTTGTCAAATAAATATCACATCAGGTCCACATTTAAAAAAGGTGATTCCATGGAACAGAATATATTTGAGTACTTACCATACAAAGAGGGAATTATATCAGGGTCTGCATCATCTTCTCTTGGGTCTGTCGTATGCAGTAAAGCCCCCCTCGCAGTTCTCTCTCCTCGTTCTCTGGGCTCGGTACTGCTAGCCCTGGATTCCACTTCCTGCTTCACTGGAGTTGGACAATGAGGAGCTCGTTCCACATACATGGCCTCACTGTTGGTAAAGTTTCAAATATTAAGTACTATAGTACAGCTGGCTTATAGTCTAAGGTCGAGTCGCTAAGCTATGAGTTAATTGATGCCAAGTTGAAATTCTTGATCACAGAACGGAATTAAAACAGCCTTTTCTCATCCGAAACTTTGTGGTATCCCCTACCTTATACTTCTTCCCTTATCATCATCATCATTATCATCAGCCTTTATTAGTCCACTGCTGGACATAGGCCTCTCCATAGAAACTAGGTTTTGGCTTACTATACCACGCTGGCTAGACGGGTTGGTATAGTAAACAAAAAACAAAACGCTTCTTTCAAGTTTCCTTTGCTGTTGGCCTTCTTTGTTTGCTTCCTTAGTCGACTCTTAGAACACCGAAAGGATGAATAGGGGTTGTGACACTCTGTTTTCTGAATAAGTCACCATACGGACATGTTCAAACATTGTCACTTATTTTTTTATTTTTATTAGGAAGAGAGCCGGAAATTGGTATTGTGTTTCGCAAGACAATACAAATAATGCACTAAAATGGTGACAATATATCCATACCTCAGTGGTGCATGTTTCGCTGGTAAATGTCTGTGTCTAGCTGCATGCCGTCGATATAATACTGCCAGGACACCACATACAGCTGTAGCCAGAAGTGCAGACATTGCAGCTATTGAGGCTAAGACCGGAGACATGCCGAGAGAATTCCCTTCACCTGTTGCAGAAATGTATGTTAAAAATTTGTTTGACGAACATCAATATAACGGAAAATTTTATTTGTCTGCCAATTGCAAAAATGGTGTGTTATTGATAATTAATATGCTTTTTAAAAGTCTACGTTAATGGATATTCAAGCAAATGCTTATTATTGATTGGCGTAGTTATTATCCGACAGGCCTGTTGGTCTAGTGGTTAGTGCCCCTGACTGCTAAGCCGAAGGTCGTGGGTTCGATTCCCACCCAGGAAAAATATTGTGTGATGAGCATGATCGTTTGTTCTGTGTCTGGGTGTAATTTATCTATAATATGTACGTATTTAAAATATATAAGTATGTTTATCAGCACTTTGGTCACCATAGCACAGGCTCTGCCTAGTTTAGAATCAGACGGTCGTGTGTGAAATGTGTGAGGTATATTATTTTATTATCAAGTTTCCATATTGTAATATCAATTCATTTCATGATTAAATTTTTTGTTAATTTCTTTACTAATGAGGTTTTTAAAATATATCAAACCTACTTCATTAACATGAACTGCATATATTTGTTATATGTAATCACTTCGCACATTACTCACTTCGCACCTTCGTTCAAGAAATTTGCATATCGCCTCAAAACAATTATATTTCAACTTAAAATGCCGTGCTCTTTCACATTATTCTTTTAAAGTAGCGTTTATAATATTTTAATTTCAGTCCAAATTACTGTTTTACTGAATTAAAAAAAATATATGCGGCTCTTTTCATAAGATTTTTTTCTGTGCTTCAAGTAGAACTTGGCTGCTTTTTAAGATTCTAATTAAATACCATTTTATGTATGATAAAAACCACACCGTTTCCCCTTAATGTATCCTTTTTGTAGAAATGTGTTTAAATAGACTAAACAAAATACACGAGACCACAAAACTTACTAGCGTTTCAAACATGCTCGTCGATAAAGCAGTTAATTTGTACAAAACAACCAGTTACACCGAGTACGGCGTCGTTTGTGTTCATAACTACTTAAATTAGAATTAGCTTTTCCACTACACAAAACCTGCAGAAACAATGCAGTAATATTTAATTCTAGTGTTTTATATTTAAGACAATTTTGTTTTAACAATAATTGAACGTTATTTTCGGATGGGGTTATAATCTAAACCGTTGTTTGTAGTGGTCTAAATTGTTATCTCTGAAACAGTTTAAAATCCTTTAACCTAATGTAGTGTGAAAATGGCTTGAACAGATCTAATTAGTTTAGAAATGGAGAACTGGTTTCTTCAAGGACATGATTAATGGAAGAGTTTTATATTTCGAATAATCTATTTCAAAAGATTCCGATATCTAATATTCTGATTCGATAGGTTTTCTTTTGCAAATCGATTAGTTAATGACGCTCATACAAGTGTTACGATGTGATATGTCTTGAATGGCAAAAATAATCACTAAAACAAATTGTCAAATTCGTTTTCGTTTTAACAATAGTAAACTGTAATATTTTACTCTTGCCATTTTTTCTTATTCACCGCGACTTTAAAAGTTTTTACTAACCCAGATTGCGCCAAATCTGTAAGCTCAAATTTTTTTACGACATCACAAAAACGGTTTCTAAAATAAATAGTTCATGTTTCGATGTACGACATCATAACACTTTTCTTTACTTTCCACTCGCAAAATCAAAACATAGTCATTAAAATGGCGTGACTAGGCAGCTTATTACCTTTCAGCTTTGCGAAATTAAAGCATTACGCTCAAACCATACCCTGGTGGCTTATATCGTAGTGTTTGCTTCGTGATTGGTGGGTTAACCTTTGAGCTCACTTTGAATTCAAAAGCTATTTATTACGGGTCTTAACTTCAGAACCGACCTGGTTACACAATATGTAACTTTGTTGTTAAGGAGAAAATTATAGGTGGGCTTTAAAACGTATGCCTGTTTAAGACTTTTGGTAGACCTAGGTATAGTCTTGTTGTTTCTTAGAACAAACTTTGTTGGCACAACGTAAAGAAAAAATGTTATAATCAAAAATATATGGATGTTAATGTATTTATTGCAATGAACAATCAAAAGGTCTTTCTATTTATTGATGTGTTATTTTATTTATTGATGTGGTATTTAGCTTAAATTAGTGTAACGAGTAGCAATATTTATTTTACAAGTTTTAACTTCGGGCGGCACTCCCAGAGTGCAATTTTTTTTTTGCATGGAAGTTAAAAGATATAAGAGTAGAGGACAGACCAAAGAATAGATAGATGGACTGCGTGAAAGAGGATATGACTAGAAAGGGAGTAAACAGTAAACTGATGAGTGAGAGAGGTAGGTAATGGTAATATATATAGCTGGAAATTTAAGAATAATCTTACCACAAAATTTTCACACTACACAATTTCGAAAATCATAAAATTAGATCAAAGAAACCTTTAAAGCAAATTAGACTCTCAGCAGGGTCGGCAATAGAAAGTGTTTACTTAGAACGATTATAGTCTAAGAGCTCTAAAAAGATCTCAAATAAGCAAACAGCTTCTGTACTTGTTGCGACATCATGTAGGTGTTATTATGGAGCGTGAGAAATTCTTGTTTGAATTGAGAAATTTCTAGAAAACGTTATATTGGGTGTACGTAATTTGTAGCATGCTCCTATTCCAATTATTATTACCCATATAAGTTCTTGGAAATTACATTTATTTAAGTAATCTAAACATACGGAAGTTGTACAGTCCATCTAAAGGTTGCCTGGAAGAGATCGCAGGCTGCGATAAGGCCGCCCATTGTATCACTGTTTTTTTTTTGTATGTATCATCGCATGTATTCTAATTATGATGTGCAATTAAGAGTTCCTATCTATCTATCTTACTCCTATTATAAATGTTCTCATTTAAATTCTTATTATAATCTCACTTTGGAGATATTAGTGTAGGTAACTAAACCACGATAAAATGGTTGAAGGAATCTGGATGAAATTTGGCACTAAAATAGGATATAGTGTGGAACAGCACATAGGCTACTCTTTAACTATGGGAAAAATAAGCAGAATAAATCGTCAGTAATGCGAGTGATACTGCAAGCAAAAGAGATATATAAAAATCCTGATCTGTTTCATGAGATTCAAAATTTTAAATTGATATGTGTTCATGGACTCTTTTCACTTGTGAATTTTAAGAAAAATTATAGGGCAGTATACAGCTCTTCATGGGGTTTTCAGTAGCGAATAGGCTTTCGCAATTATTATATAATGGGTATTCGTGATTTTCACTATGAGTCCTCAATGAATTCCAATTAACTAATACTGGGAAAAAAGAAAGATATTATATATTTACAACATTCATACTATTTACATATAAGCATAAAGCATTTTAAAAAAGACAACTCCTGCACTAGGAATAAAACCTGTGTCGCGGGGGACTTTACAAACATACACGAAACGGACACAAAGAACACCCAGACTCAAAACAAAAATTTATGGATCACACAAAGTGTCGTCCCATGTGGGGATCGAACCCACAACACTCAGCGTAGTAGTGAGCGGCGCGGCGACTGCTTAAACCACTACGCCATCCGTACAGTCATTTAATTCAATTACTTTAATTTAACACAGCTGTAAAGGTTTGCTTTACCGAGTAATTAAATTTGAGGTGAAAATCGTAAAGTTTTTATATTATCTATGACAATCCCATCTAAATAACAGCTACTATACTTACCGGTAAACTTAGCTTGTCCTTTCAGAGTAACAGTTTCAATAGTAGTGACGTCACTCCTTCCCTTAGCGTTAACGGCGTACAAGTCGATTCTGTAACTGACACCCGGTGGCAAGCCTCGGATTTCAAAGTACGGAGGAGTTCTATTTGTGGATACGTTGTAACGGACCTACAAATATATAGGTCACCTTAATGGAATCCTGATCAGGACATCTATCGATTAAATACAATGTAATGATACACATTTACAGTGAAATTATTTTATTTTATTTGGTTCGGAATACCAACAGTACCAATAACGTAAGGTAAATATTATAATAAAGTAACAACGAAGCTATTTACAGATATTCGCCAATAGTTTCCAAGTATGAAACAACAGTTCAAATAACTTACTGACAACAACGAAAAAAAGTACATTTAAAAAAAATATTTAATAAAAAAAAACACATTTTTGGGAACAAAAAAACTTAGACTAAGAAAATGGCACGCTTCTGATATTGGGCTTAAAAAATTTGAAGAATTACTTACTGTAAGTGTGGGTAATTCTAAAAGTTCCATCAGGAAGGTCTGGGGCAGTCCACCATCGAAGTTCTCCACGCATTCCACGTTTAATGAATCTATACTTTGGTTAGCCACAGAGCAGTTCTGAAGATGAAATGGACGACCTGTAGAATTGAAATGTTATTAATATTGTTTTCTATTGTTAGTTCTTTTAAAGCGATAAAACTACAATTTATCTAAAACAGTAATCAATGACACCGTGTATATGGTATCAATTATACGTCTTACGTGTAAATGAGCTCAAATACACTATAGACTATCATTATACTAACTTTTAAAACATACAGTGCAAAACAAAACCCTACTTAAAAAAACTATTGCAATTCAAAAAGAGAGTGACACCCTTTGCTAGCTCTCTAAATGTAAGTATTGTACTTGTGTGGATATTTTCTGTTATTTCATAAATGTTTTACTTACCAGCCGCTACAAGTTGGAACAAACACGGTACTTTCTGTTGCCCTACTGCATTTTCTCCATAGCAAGCAAGCGTACCATACTCCATGTCAGTTGTTGGGGTGTAGTTTAGAGTGGAAGTGTGGCCGTTGCTACTGTACAGCCTGTAGATCAAAATATAGTTTAGTTAGTATTTACTTTTTAGTTGTTTCTAAATACGTCGAAAAGCTAGTCCCATGAACACTTGGTTCTTTCTTTTTGTTTCCGACGATGTTTAAATTATGATGTTTTTGTTCGATATCATTTATATTTATAAATTTGCCTTACTTCCTCATCTTTGTTTTAGTTATTTTGTTTTCATTTTCGAAAATAGTTAAGCTAAAATTAAAACGACAACTGAGCTACAACTCAAGTCCAATTTAATGGTAGAATGTATTATTTTTATTATTTATTCATTCAATATATTATTTATTCTTGACTTATTAAAATCAAAATTTGATACTACTTCAAAAAAGAATTAAATGCTCATTTTTCATATTATTGATTAAATTGTAGTTCTGTAAATCCATTATTAAAGTATCATCACCATCAACAACAACAAAAAAATAGAATAATGTAGTTGACAATACAATACTTAATATTGTAAAGAATAAAAAAACAATAACACAAATTGCGAAAGGTGTCAATGTTTTTTTATTCAATGTCATGTGCATTTCAATTTTGAGACTCCATTTTGTTTCTCCATGACATGGGCGACAGTAGTCAGTTACAATCAAGCAACCCGTCTACTCTTTTAACACTTATGCTGTAAAAAATTACATATCAAAGAACAAAAAAATTACATATCAAAGAACACTTACTTTGGTGGAAGTTCTGTTTGCTCTCCAGAATTATTAAAAGTCCAATGAAAGGACACTAAGGCAGGGTTAGCATCCACCGAGCAGTGTAGTGACACTGTCTCCTGTTTAAGGGCCCCGAAGAGCTCACCGTCTCTTCTCTCAGCACAAACAGGAGCGTCTAAAGATATATATTTTTTTTTGTATTATTTCATCAACACCTATCATGGATTTTAAATGAAATAACCGATAAAATAGATAAAAGTACCCAAAAATAAATGCTGATAACACATAAAACAGAATAATTTAACAGTTTTCGGATTCGACCTACAAAATTGTCTACTACGACGTATGAAATGTTGAGTCAGCTGGTATTGAACCAATAGTAATTCTGGCCAGTGGATTTATTGCTAAGAACTGCGACCTCTATTTCAAGCCGTTCGCGTTAGGTCAAGGGTCAAGGGCCTGATGCTGAAGATGGTATTATTTGTTATTTTATCACTTATATTTTTTTATATAACGAGAAAAACTTCTCACTGCGTTAAGATGGATCAATATCTTAAAAGGTTTTAAGGCGAAGAAGAATGATGCTATTTATACGAACCAATAATGTGGAGATTACTCAATTTATCATTAGTTAAAATTCAGAGAGAGATAAGGTTATGGTGCGGTCACCAGTTATTCAGGCAGCCACAATTTGCGAGGATCGTCAAGGGTTTTATTTTAGAAGTTTTCTAGGTTTAAAAAAAGAGCATTGCAATAAAATTTTGTCCCGATTAATTACAATTTGAGAATAATAATGTTAGATTATATAGTTGCTGAAGAATAAAATAACAAATAATAAATTATGTACAGTCTCATTTAAAAACTAAACCAGAGAATTATACTAAAACTATAAGTATAAACATAAGTTCCAATCAAATTTTATACAGAAGTAACAACTCAGCCATCGTTATAAAACTGCAACTCAAAGAACACTTCTCAAGTACTTTTAATGATTAACGTCCAACTAGTTCTAACTAGTGTGAAGTAAAAGAAGACGAACTTTAGCGATCTTGAGAACGTTAGCAGAATCAGTTTGTTTTCAAATTTAGCTTTCAGTCTTTGATAAAGAACTTTGTACTTGAATCAATTTAAGAATAAGATTTGCGCAGAATTTGTGTATATTTTTTAGTTATCTCCAAGAACAGTAACTTATATTTTTAAGTTATACATATGGTATAACGCGACGATTACTATGCAGACGGTTTAACAGCTAAGTTAAGAATATTATATAAAAAAACTGTAGAAAATGCTAATTTATGTAGTAGAAATCGTTGGTATTTTTATACTCATTATCTCTAAAGAAATATGAAACTTCTATGAGGTCTGTTGGTTTCAAAAGCTTTGTTTAATATTTTATTTTTCTATGGATGTTACGTTTTTACTATTCAAGTAACAGTTAGATGAGTATATCAAAATTATTTTCAGGTTTACCAACAAAAAACTCATTTAAGGATTAGATATTGGTTTAAAATGATACAAAAAGCAATGCTGTGCATTACGCCACTGAATTCCTTATATTGTCCATTGAATACAATATAAATGTGTAAGAATCGTAATCCCAGCTTAACAATACCCTGAGCCACAATCTCCTGGATATTAGAATATTTTAATAAGATTCTTTGAGGCTTATTTTCGTTCTCAGACAACTTTTACCCATCTGGAGGCCATTAGACAGCCTCCTATTTATACAAGAGGACAATTTTGGGCTACTACGTGCAACCCCTCATCCATTTTGCAAGTAAATTGCATTTTCTCAGGTTTTTACGTTACTTCCGTGGTTGACGGAAACTGCGACGATTTTACACAACCCCGGGAGAATTTTAAGGCCCTCTTTGTTTAGCGACGACGCAACAAATTTTGACATAATTTTGTTGAGTTTAAATGGTAATATCCCTGGGTTTTTATTGTTTAGAAGCAAGATTTAGACGATATTTTTTAGTAAGTTCAGAATTCTGTTTATGGAGGATTTGATTTTCTGAATTTCATATGCTTCATAGCAATTGGCTCAGTACCAGCGTTGTGTTGAAGTAAATATTCTGCTCACAGACAGACAGAAACTGTGGCTTTAGTATGTTGAACACGACTATTATATTTTGAAAACTGGCCTTGATAAATCGTGCTTGAAATAGTGCTTTAGAGTGAACTAGAAATAATTAGGACACAGTATTTATAAACTGGGCGGTAACCTCATCCAGTGCTGATCGAAACGTCATTCAATTTAATAGTTTGCATTTATATACATACGAGTATATTATATGCCCAAGTCTAAAACTTAGTGTGCTTGAAAATGTTTATTAACAGCTTACCTTCTTCTTAAAGCAGTACTTCGATTTTATTATCCATAACTACAGATGAGTAGGAACTTAAAAAAGTGTCTAAGTAAACATTTTATCTGAATATTATTGTACATTTGACTTAAAGTCTAATACGAGCAGAAATCTGCTCTGTCCTAAATTTGCAAAAGAAACAATGTGATTTTTCTCTTCTTTCATATCCATATCAAATCATCAACGGCTAACAAATGTACACATTACATCACATAGTTAGCATAGCAATTTAGTGTAATATAAAAACCGCAAATAGGCGTGGGTACCTATTGTGTATATACTTCCATAGACACATATATGATAATTTAAACTTCAATTCTGATACTGATAAATGATTTCTACCTCTATTGTAAAAATCGAATATGGTACGAGGTAGCTACCCACATATTGTATACTTTGAGCTCACTGCTTTGGACTAGATAATTTAATATTCATTTCATCTTCAACTTTTTCAATTGAACTCCACGTGAGCAAAAATCTCTTTGTTTTTATTCACCCGTTGCTTTTTTATTTTATTTTTCAACTACACTCAAGACTTTATTGTGCATGTGAAATTTTGTTTTGTTATTCATTCAAAAACTTTCATGTGTTATTTAAGTTTTTATTTAGGTTTCTAGACCTTCACGTTCCTGTGTTTGCTACCTTGAATGAGAAAGAGGCCAGAGAACATTTTCTGTAGTCTTTTAAGTACTGTACTGAAATGAATTGATGTTTTCGGGACGTTTCTGCTCGACCCATCAACATATGTATATATTGCTTCTATACTAATGATACCATAAAACATCGCAAACAGCTACGCAAAAGGCTAGAGTGTTATACCTACATATTTAGGTACCATTCATAAAAATCCCATAAAAATGAGTATAGATATATACTCGTAGTTCTATATGAAGACTAATTAACATATTATCAATTTGTTTCCTTGGAAGAGTAAAATAGGATATTCATATTAAAACCCATGTATCACGGGGATAGTTATATATGTTACATACGAAAAACCCTATTTTAACAAATAAAATAAGCTTCTTAGATGATGCTCGAGATAGAACAAACCTCACCCCAATGCTTAAAATTTATCAGAACCATACTTTGCCTTATACAAATTCCTAAATTTAAATTTAAGAATGATAAAAAAAAAGCTATGTGTATGCTGTAGATACTTACATCTGACTAACAGAGTGACAGGATTGCTGGTGCCCTTTCCCTCACTGTTTGCTGCCATACACGTGTAGTCTCCAGCAGCTGCCCTAGTGACGCTTTGTAGAACCAGGCTTTGAGCACTCAAAATAATGCCAGCAGCATCGTTGTGGAAAATTTCTGTATTCTATATTTAAAAGGTAAAAAGAAAATTTATAACGTATTTTGTTTTAAGTACGAATCAATTTTTTTAGACGGAATTTTTAGTGCGTTATGATAAAAAGTACTTACACCGTGAAACCATACAAGTCGATGTGTTTTTGGGTTAGCTTTTACTGTGCATTCGAAGTATACATCATCCCCTTCTTTGATTTCATCTGGGTTTAGATTTGAGCCCATCTTCAGGTCCACTATCGGCACATCTGTGAATCCATATTTTATAGTTTTTTTTTTTGACAAATTTATGTCATCAGAACTAAATTAATTTATTTTTCATCATTTGACCATGATGACAACACACATATTTAAACCAAACGTAGTATTTATTTCTCATCTTATTTTCAAAATCTAAAAAAATATTTTCTATTCTAATATTATTAGAAATTAATAAAATTAAAGTCTTATGTTGATCATTGAAACGATTTCATCATCAACAGCCTTCAATAGTCCACTGCTGGACATAAGCCTCTCCTTAGTAAGGAGGTTTTGCCCTACTATACCACGCTGGCCAGACGGTTACTATTCTAATGTCGAGCCCATTTCTGACCACGACTAATGCAAGCTGGTCAAAAGGTCAGGCAAGTCAGAGTTATGTGATACCTATAAACTGTGTAGCTCTGTGTGATGTCATGTGGCTGCGATCAACTAGACATTGGAATTATTGCTAATTTTAAATCATATTTATTTGAGGAAGTGATTAGTTTTAGTCACAGCGATTGCACAGATAATTGAAATTTCGTTATAGACAAAGATCATTATCAACAGCCTTTACTAATCCACTACTGGACATAGGCCTTTCCTTAGAAAGGAGGGTTTGGCCTACTATACCACGCTGGCCAGACGGGTTGGTATAGGGGTATTTTGAGCATGTCCATGGACCATATACCAAGATAAATACCCATGTATAAGACATACACTAATGTTTATTTTGTCTGAAAATGTACGGTATGTTTATTATGTCTATGACGACAAAATTTTAAGATCATTTATCTTTACTGCTACATTAATAATATAGATATAATATCCATAAAGGTAAATTCGAATTAATCTTTTTGATTATTTTATTAATTAAACAAAATTATTGATTTAATTAACTGTCAGACTACAGATTAATAAAACTGTAGCTTAAATGTATTTGGATAAAGAAAGCTTCATTTCGAAATGTTGTAAAAGTAATCAGTATATAATTTGAGTTCAATTTAAGTATCTAATAAAATAAATATTAAATTAAACTAACTTATAAGAACTTCATGTTATACCTACAGTTTTAAATAGTAGCAGTAGTCATAGTAATAAAAGTACGATGATTATAAAAGACACTAGCAGTAGAGAAAACACTGTTTCAAAACAGAAAGTCCTCGAACTTGCAAGTAATTCAATCACAATAAGTACCTAAATTAGCAAGACAGCAATGTGAATCATCATCAGCCTATCGCAGTCCACTACTGGACAAAGACATTTCCCATTGCACGCCACTTAAATCGTTTTGGGTTTTGCATGTGAATGTTCTGTCCAAAATGTTTTATTTTTCTAATAAAATAGTCAATACATTAAGTACTACTTGACGAATCTTAAACCTTAGAATAATATTGGGGGACTTGTTGATAATAAATTAGTTTTGAGTTAATTGATTCTAACAAAAACTATTTATAAGCTTATCTAACGGGTTAAATTAGATGATTATCCTATCAATTTACTATATTTCAATACAAGCATTTAGTTACCTTATAGAATTATCAAATTATATCTTGATAATCCGGTTGTCGAGACATGTGTTCAAAGACCAATGTCGTAGTTTTGTTTAATTCTTTTCTTCTCACTGCACACTCAACTTTACCAATCCTAACTTTTAGTATGACGAAGTTTCCAAAATAATAAACGACAAACAACATTGATGTTCGAACAGTTATAGATAGACTAACACTGAAACATAAAAGTTTAAAATTTGTCTTTTAATTTTTCTTGATCTTTAAGATTTAATTTCCAATGGTTTACTTATTTCGTTTTTGATTACCTATTAACTTTTTTGAGTGACTCTTTTGTGACGTTGTGATCTATATTCTCTCTATGTTTATTACTAACCTTTTGACACTTCAACTTACTTACTATTATACAAGAAAAGGCTTTAAGAAGGCTTTTTTCAAAATGTTTGTTACAGGATTGGCAAAACACGCAATGCAAAGCAATACAATTAACATTTCTTGCAACATTCAGTATTTCGATGGTACTTTATGGATGGTACGATGGATTAAACTATCACCACTTAAATGTCTTCTGAATACTCACAATGCACATTCAGTCGCCATTTATCCTCTATAGCCGAGTCCTGTATATGTTTGTTCTCAGCTCTGCACGTCAAATATTTGCCGTCATCTCCCCCGCCGGCACTAAGCTAGCACACCAGAGTCTCGTTGTTCTCGGAAAACTGCGAAAAGATGAGCTTTAGATAAAACTATTTCCAATATTATTTAGTTTAGAGTGATTGAAGCGTTTATGAAAAATAAATAATGGGATTTAAAATGAATTGGTATTGAATTATTGTTTATCTAGAATTCTAGATGATTTACTGCCGTCTTGAACTTGTAAAATTGTTTTTAAAAATTCCTTAATCAAAAATATTCTAATAGAAAATGCAGAAGTAATTTATATAAGATTTATAATTTGATCTTATCATTTAACTGACCTTATGTTTTGATATAATCGTGAATAATTTTACGTCTAAAGTATATGTCACAAAATGCCCATAAAATTCATCAATGTAAAGAAACCGTTTTAAAACATATATTAGTAGATGTGCCAAAGTAAGGTATAAGATAAAGCATATCAAATATTTTAGTTACATTTTTCGCCATCCTCTTCAACTGTCTATTATTTTTCCACCACGTCACGTATGCTTCTGGTCTTGATCCTGTTGTTTTACATTCCACTTCGTACCTTTTGTCTGCTGATACTTGCTTTTCTTTTTTCAATATGTTTACTGTTATCGGTTTTTTCTGCAAAAAACACAATCAAACCTTCAATATTTAAATTGGATGCTTTACCAATGTTTTTTCTTTAAAGGGGTTATATTTATTTTTCTGCCTGAGAACCTAATAAAGAAACCAGTCTAAGTGGTATTTCGTGGGATTGATGTAGGCTGTTTTTAACCACCTTGCCTAGAATTCTGATATTTGTTATTTTAGGTCTTCAATTAATAAAGTAGATGGAATATTAAATTATATTCAGTTTGAAATAATATTTCCCTCTACTTTTTACAGGCAACCTATATAATATATAAAAGTTAAGTAGAAGTCTAGAATTTATTCAACCATTTTAAAATTCTATTTATTATGAAATTTGTAATAAGTAAGTGAAATGACAAGTTTGATTATTGTACGTACAATTAATATCCAAAATAAGAACTTTAGTTTCAGGTTGTGCAAGATTTGTATTACTGGCTTGACAGAGAAGTCTTTGGTTAAGATGCTGCCTTCCAACATTAGGAAACGTCAGTTTTATTCACAGTGATGCCATCTGCTCCCCTGCTCATATGAGTCAAACAACGGAGTCATTTTCAAGGTACCAGATCACTTTTGGGCGGGGTCGACCTGCATGAAAAGAATTTACAACTTTCAACATAACTTTTATATAATTATCTATAATATGTATGTTTTAGAAAATATTAAGGTGTTATACATCTGGTTCCATAGTACACTTGCCTTTTTTGGGATCAGACCACCGTGGTGGATGTGTGAAAATATTATTATTTGAAAAGTTACAAAAATAATTTTTTTTTTTATTAAAACCTACGTTTTCTTAATTTTTTCTTTCATTTTTTTTAATATTTTTAATATTTTTAATGTCGAAATAAAGATGTTTATTTTTAAAAAAACCTTCTACTATAGTGTTTATTAGAAATACTATGAAAGAAAATAAAAAAATTTTTTAGGACAAGATACCCCAAACAGTTTTGTTTTTGGATTCGTGCCCCATTTTTGTCTCAAGGCCATTTCTATGGGGGGAAATATCTTTTCCCAATTTTATCAAGAAAAAATCGGTAAAAAGTTAATAAAAAAACCATGCCCAAAACAAAGATAATGTGGCGCCAAATGAATAAAAATCCAAAAAAACAAGAACAACATTAACAAATCTTGAAATCAAACGGCCAATTAAAGGCAATAATCGTTGCTCATGGTGATAAACAATAAAACATTTCAAATCCATACAATTTGGGAAACAATGCCTCCATAAATGATTAACAAACAGAAATCGTAGGCGTTAATGAAGGGAAATAGATGAGTGATGGTATTTTAATGTCGATAACGGTAAATCATTCTAACATGATGCGATAATCCTTACATGACACCAATTCTGTTATCGGTACAGCATTTAGTCGTAGTATTTGATTATATTTATAGCGATGTTATTGGCGATAGAACTCCTATCTTGATTGTTATTTGAAAATGATATTCCTTTTGCACGAAAATGTTTTGGGTAGTCAAAATATTGTCTTACGGGTCAATTAAAATTATTATCTGACAGGATTAGATTTTTAAATTCTGTTTTTATTTTGTATTTTTTTGTTTCAACCTTTCCAGTAACTATAAATGACTATTTTATTAAATGGGGTTTTTAAAAATATAACATAAATTAATAACAAAAATATCGAAAAATGAAATTTTTTAAAATTTAAAATAAGTTATTATTTTCTGAAATTATAGATTCAAAAAAAAACTAATATAAAAAAAAACGAATTTATCAGTTCATGGTCGAAGCTATGACAGAAAGAAAAATGAAGCCATTATGATCGCGGCAACAATTTGTCAATAAGAACGATGGTGGTTAGTTCAAATTAACACTTACAATATTTTACAGATTTTTTTTGATGGGACATCATTTAAAGGTTTTAAGGTCACTAGGAGTGAATTGGTTTGAAATTAAAGGGCATTATAATCATCATTAATCGAAATATCCTTAGTTTTTACTGTTGTGATCAATTAGTACCTAATATAATAAACTGCATAGTGATGTAATATCTGGTGTCTTAATACTATGGCGTTATATTCGTTTATGTGTACAATTAAAGTGTACTTTTTGCCCCGCACAACCAATCTTTGGAACGGGTTATTGTCTGCGGTATTTCCGGACCGATAAGACCTTCAAACCTTCAAGAAAAGAGCGTACTCTTTCCTAAAAGGCCGGCAACGCGTTTGTTACTCCTGAGTTGCAGATGACATAGGCGGCGATAGTCACTTTCCATCAGGTGACGCGTCTGCTCGTCTGCCTCCTCTAACATAAGTGTTCTTGAAGACAAAAGTCAATTTTTATCAAAATCTTATTTCAACATTTTGAATTGTCTTACCTCCTTCAACTTCACATATAAGGAGTACGTTGGATCCCTCATTGTACGGTTCAACTAATTTTGTTCTGTCTCTTCTTTTTGCATCAAATATTGTTGGACGATTTGGTGGAACTAGACAAGAAAAAGATTCATAAATAATATTTTCGCATAAAATTCACTTTGATGTAGTACAAACGTCAAATTACTGGCTTTTACTGTCTATCTAGGCTATCAGAAAAACATATTTAATTAGCCTCTGAATTTAATTTAATAGTCCACTGCTGGACATAAGCCTCTCCTTAGAAAGGAGGTTTGAATTTAATTCATGAACCTTAATTTACAATGGTTTTGATCTACACTTATTATGCCATTTTTTTTAAAATTTTACTTCTGTAGTTATATTTGTAAAGTTAGTTTCACATTTTTCTTGTACACGAAATTAAAAAAGTTGGTTTGTTACCAGTTCCAAATGACGATTTTTAGTCAAGATTAAGTAATTACTGACTCAATACATTGTCAATTTCTGAATACATACTTACTTATAACGGTAAAATTAACTTTTAAGTTTCTAGTAGGACTATTCTTGAAGTCAACCCTGCATCTATATACGCCAGCATCACTGGCTAGTACATTGTCCACCATGAGGACGGCAGGAGTGGCGCTACCGCGAAAAAACGCCCTGTTCCCGAAGACTGTTGGAGAAGACCAGAGCTTCGGTTGATTCATCGACCGGCCTCTGATGTCGTAACTATTGGAAATTGCAAATGTTTTAATAAATAGGATTCTAAGTTAAGGATAGTGCGGTCAGACGACATAAATGATCGATATTGTATTACAATGAGAACATTGAAATTATACTCTTTATGTACTGACTGAAAATTTATAATTTCAATTATTATTTTTGTTGTAATGCAACACAGATCAAAGAAATAGCACTAAATGAAATACCTGTAAGTTTCAAAATTAAATAATTTAAATATGTTAACATTCTAAATGTTATGTTTCAAAAGGGAAATTTTACATAATACCAGTAGCTATATTAAGTTTCTGCTGTTAGTAATGACTGTGTTCGTATAAGTAAACAACATTTAAATGAAACCTAATGGAGTTTCTGCACCAGAAAAACTTAGTTCTTTCAAATTTATGTCAGCCATTTGAATATTTACGGGCAATCCTAATGTTTTAGGTTCCTTTTTACACGCTTCACTTGTATGTTTGTTTGTAGTTTTGCATGTTTGTAACCGACTCCTTTGGGCGTGATTTTGACTGACTTTAAAAGATCAGAATTCGTTCAAACTTTGTATATATATCGAGGACCGATGACAATACACTAATTTAAAAAAATAAAAAATTGTTGGGTGCCTGTTGTCAATAGTAAAAAGCAACCCACGCTTTTTTCAAATTTTTTAAAATTTATTTTCTATTTTTTAGTTTGGTTTTCTATAAAAAGCGTGTTTTTTAGTTTTTTAAAACTATTATTTTACAATAAAAGCAGTATTCGTGTGGTGTCCTTTACCTCTGTCAACGTTTACATCAAGAGTAATGCTACTGGTATTAGTTATGAGATTACTATCATTACCGTTGGGTAATAACATCAAAACATGCAACCGTTAAATACAGTTGATAAAATTGTTTAAACTTATTGTTTATATAAAATTCAATGTGAATTTACTTTGATTGGTGTTTTGTTCAAGTATAATAATACCTACTTGAACAAAACACCAATTGTTATAGTAACGTTAACTATATAAAAAGTTATCTATTTCTGTCTAGTGAATATCAGGTTGTTCGGCGACGATGCCTTTTTAACTCTTAAATCTATCCCGATAAGGTACAAATTCGTTTCTCACTTGACCCGTAAAAGCAGTATCGTTATCATGAGTTCTACCGACGTAAACAGATTCAAATTTGTGTCCCTAGATTACCAAAACACTGGTTTACCTGTATAAAGGCTGGTCTCCATCAGATTCTTTAAACCACAACACCATGACGACATCGTCGTCTGAATGCAGCGGCTGGATATCGCACGGCAGCGAAGCTTTTTTACCCAACACACCTTGGACGTCTGATGTTGGCACTGTTGACAAAAAAAAAGGGGATTTAAAAAAAAGTAAAATGTCATCCGTGGTTTAGCATATGGCTGGTTTCAAGATTTATTATTCGTCGACTATTTATTTTGAATTTTTAGGTTGCGGTTTTAAGTTTCGAACATGTTTAATTTAAATTTAATACAATTGCACAGCACCTGGGAGGTTCCTAGAAAGGAAACATGGAATCTAAACAGGCCACGCAATACTCAATCTTATAACACAAATCATAACATCCATCATTCCTCGTAACCAACAATTTAGTACAACATCGTCACGCTAGTTGTCGGTCACGGAGCAAATAAGTTGCATGAACATCGCTCATAAACATGCTAGTTTTGTGTATAAGATATGATTACTTTAACAAACAAAACTTTTCGTTTATACATTTTTTTTTTATCTTATAATTATGTTTGTTTGTTTGTTTGAACGCGCTAATCTCAGGAACTTCTGGTCCGATTTGAAAAATTCTTTCAGTGTTAGATAGCCCATTTATCGAGGAAGGCTATATATCATCACGCTAAGACCAATAGGAGCGGAGCACCAATGAAGAATGTTTCAAAAACGGAGAAAATTTATTACTATTGAGAGACGCAGACGAAGTTGCGCAGGTCAGCTAGTATTTTATAAAAGACAACTCCCGCATTATATCCTGTGTCGCGGGGGACTTGCAAACATACATGAAACGGACACAAAGAACACCCAGACTGAGAACAGCAATTTATGAATCACACAAAGTGTCGTTCCATGTGGGGATCGAACCCAAAACACTCAGCGTAGAAGGAAGCAGCGTGGCGACAGCGAAGAGTACGTTATTTTCTTGAAGGTTTGAAGGTCGTATCGGTCCGGAAATAGACGATAACCCGTTCCACAGATTGTTCGTGCGAGGCACAAAAGCAAAAGTTAAAGGAAAAAAAATTGGTTGCCTGTAAAGTCGGTATACGGGCGAAAGTTTTACGTGACAACGACTATGTCTGTCTCTCTCGCTCTTAGGCGGGCTAACCATGCCCGATTGGAAGGGACGCGTGCCTCTCACTCGCTCTCATTGTGAGCGCATAACGTGAGCGGAGCGTAACGCAGTTTCTTGAAGTGTCACCCGGCAAACCAATTTATAAGACGTTGTCACGTCAAAAGATTAAGGAAAAGTTTAATTTCAGCTTGAATATAGACTGAACAATCTTTTGAACTAAATCTCGTGGTAAAACGATGGTCAAAAGACGCTTATGCTACAAGTATTTAAACGTGGTAATTTTATGACATGGTACAACATTTTATTCAAAAAAGAAAATCTAGAATCGCATCATTACTTTCAGAGATAATATAACGTTTTTATAATATTTGTGTGCATATACATTTAGAACTAATTAAGAACATGTAGAACAGTCGTCCTCACTGTGGTCACTTGAAAATCATAAAGGGTATTAAAAGTCAGAGCCAAAACCAGCATAGTTTAATTTAGCCTTGATGTTTTTATAATCAGTTTTTAATAAAATGAGATTATTTTATTAAAAGAAAAGGGCTTTCATTTGAAATAAAAATAATAGCTGAAGGTAATCTCATTTAGCCATGTTAGTTAATCAGAATAGAATTAAGTAGAATTCGAAATCACATCTTCTCCGACTAAGTTCTAAAGTTTACCCCGTTTTAAAACTAAACAACTCATTCTGGTAGAGCATAATATATTCTTAATAGAGTTTACAAAAAAATATTGTTCTTTTTATGATATAGGGGTGCAAACGCGCAGACAGGTCACCTGATGGTAAGCAACTACCGCCGCCCATGGACACCTGCAACTCAAAAGTCACAAGTGTGTTGCTGACCTTGGAGTTGCTCCTGCTCGAGTCGGCGAGATTGGGGATTTGGGCTCCGGTAACCTCACTCAATTAAAAGCAACGAAAGGATTGCTTAACACCGGTTTTCTGTGAGGCCGTGGTATCACTCCGGTCGAGCGGGCCCATTCGTGACGAAGCATGGCTCTCCCACGGTAAGAATTTGTCAATATAACATCTAAAAACTAAATTTCATGCAATACTTTTGAAAAATATATTGTGTTGATAAAGCTAAATTGACGTGTTAGTCAACTACCGTATTATTAACAAAAATTCAAACGTTAATGAGAATATAGAACCGTTAAATCCTATCCAATATTCGTAATACTCCCATAAAATAGCTTAAATCTTCAGTTTAATAAAGGACGTTGCTCTAAAAAGGGTTACAATGTCTCAGTACGGCGTTGAGTTAGCATAAGAAAGGTTACAACGTAGCTGAGATAGGTGATTAAATCTTTGATCACTGATTTTATAGTTTCGTTAGCTAATATCTATCTATTTGCCGATAAACCTTTATACGTAGCTGAAATATTTGAATTAGTTTGAAAGCTATCTGTTTTACACAGACTTTCCAGTATTATCTTACTATCGCCCACATTCCCTATCACATCTGTATTAGGAACGGATTTGGAAGGCACGGATGGCGTAGTGGTTTAAGCGGTCGCCACGCCACTTACTACTACGATGAGTATTGTGGCTCCGTTCCCCACATGGGACGATACTTTGTTTGATTAACAAATTGTTGTTCTGAGATTGGGTCCGTTTCATGTATGTTTGTAAAGTCCCCCGCGACACAGGATATATTCCTAATACAGGACTTATCTTTTAAAAAACAAAAACCAACTAAAGGATCACACAAAAAAATATCTTTTAAACCTTCCCTAATTATGTAATTATTTTCTTTCAATATACTAACAATTTTCATAGTAAAGAGAGGCTTGTAGCTAATTGGTAATCTAACGGTAACACATTGCAAAATAAAGCAATCCTAGCCAGGTCAGGCCATCATCCATCATGGGTGACCATTTTTAACACATTAAGACCCCTCCGTGTCCGGGTAATTAAAGCCCTAAAAAGTTCGACAACTGTCTTCTTACAGAACTTCGATATCGTATAGTACTTGGGTTGTGGAGAGCTGATGGCAGTCGCTCCGTTTAAATAATCGAAGTTCAGTCGTATCGTAGTAGACTTAAAAGCCATTTTTTTTTTACGTGTGGAAACCCCTTTGGACCGTCACCCCACTGGGGTTTGCGGCGAGGTGGTGTGTCGGAATCGGACCGACTATAACCACACGGTGTGCCACTCTGCGCCTGTAATAGGAAGAATCCGGGAACTGCTGTTATTAGGACATCCGGACCAGACTTAAACGCCAACCCCAACCTAGGTTTAGAAAAGTTTACTAAAAAAATATTTTAATAGTACTCGGTTAACAGCAATTAATAGGCTCCTTCTAATACGAAAATGTGTTTGGTACATACGCCTCTGTTTACCGCTTCCAGTCTACGGGCGTAAGTGTATGTATGAGCTTTCGGCTTGATTGAGTTCGGAGCGGGCTGCTTCTCATTTCAATACCACGTGCCTTAAAAGTGCTCTTTTTTGTGCTCTAAAAGTTATGCTGCTAAAATGAAAAGTTTGAACGGACAGGCTTTAAATAGTTTAAGTAGTTTCGATTCTACGTTAAATGTTTTAAATGTTCCGACTAGATTAAACCGGCCCTCAGGTGAACTCAGTTTGTGATCAAGGCCTGAATTTGTTTAATTTAACTGACGTTATTTTATAAACGAAAGTTTATTTACTGTCTCCTTGTTCACACTTTTCGTATATTGGTGTTTGTATAAGTACTTTGTGATTCATAGGTATAAACAAGTCATTATCATCACCTATACTCCTCCCATTTTTATCTAGATTCGGGGCAATGTATGACATTGCAAATAGTTTTGCCTATGTTTTTTGAACGTCTGGCCATCTGCAAGATATCTGTTTCTTTATAAATATAGTCGTTTTGAGACAGGACATACGCAGAAAGTCAAAAAGGACACGGTTGAATAACAAGTCTAAGACTCTTGTAGATTGAAAGAGGATGGTGTCTCGTATCATATACCGTATATCTGCCCTGTGTTTAGAGAGGCTAGGAGAGAGATATCAACGTTCTTCGGACATCTGACACGCAACGCCTTGAAATTGTACTATGAAAACTAACATAATACTAAATTACTTTTTTTAAATGTAAATATATACATATTAAACATAGAAAATACCAAACTCCGAAATAAATATTTGCAGATCATACAAACATTTGGTCTGACCCAACAAACATGAAAATCAAAGACGAGACCTCAGCAACGCCACTGCACCACCGAGGAAACTCTGATTTTTATAACCAGTCTCTTTACATGATATGGGGAGGCAAACGAGCAGACGGGTCGCCTGATAGTGAGCGACTATCGCCGTCCATGAACATCTGGAGCTAAAGAGTCACAAGTGCATTACTGCCCTTTGAATCCGAATCGTGGGGAGGTGGGTTTAGACTCCCCACCGCGCTGGACAGTAGCGCCCCAGGATAAAAAGCTAAGAAGTAATAGGTTATATTGGTTGGATGAAGAAAATATGGCAAAAAAGTGCTAAGTGCTAAGTAAGTAAGGGTACAAGAGAAGAGGAAGGCAAAAGAAAAGGTGGATAGATTGTGTGAGAGAGAATATGGTTCGGAAGTGAGTAAACAGTGAGATAACGAATGATAGACTAGAATGGAAGAATCATCCTTACTGTCCGACCCTAAATTAATTGAAAAAAGGGTGGGCAGATGATTTGGGTTTCGACTTCAATAACATCACTCACTGAGCTAAACAGCAATTCTCTATAAGGCCGGTCGAGCCACAGCCCATTTGTACGGAAGCATGACTTTCCCAAAGACTGGCTATTCTAAACCGACGAAGATACAACTGTCAAAAGCACATCAACATCATCATCACCACATCAACAGCCTTTAATAGTCCACTGCTGGACATAGGCCTCTCCTTAGAAAGAAGGTTTTGGCCTACTATACCACGCTGGCCAGGCGGGTTGGTATAGGGTTTGTGTCAAGTTTTCCGTCTTTTGCAGTGCTGGTATCCTGCGTTGTTTTGCGCCCTTAGTTCTTACGACACCCACGGGATGAATTGGGGTAGTGACATTCCGTATTCTTAATCCGTCACTACACGGACAGTCAAAAGCAACCATAGTTTAAAGTACCTACAAAACTATACAGTTATACTCTAGCGTGTCGATAATTTCTTCATTATCATCATTAACCACCCGACATTGACCGTAAAGGTCAGTTTCAATGTTGAGATTTCATCTTGAAATCGCAATTTCTTCAAAAAGTCAAACTACAACGTATCGCAAGCGGATTAAAAAGTTTTCGTGTAAGCAGCCGCGATCCGGGCGTGTTGACCCACTTCGTACGAGTGACGTCGGTACACACTAGGTCATAATATTGTTATTTTTTTGTCGTAAGCAAGCTATTTAATTATTATTTTAAGGTTTTGCACCTCTATAGGATTACACGTTTGTTGGCCTATCTGTGTCCATATGTCCGCCAGAACAATTTTTTGTCGATCACACATGGAGGGTTTTGGGTCAAACTTTTCTTATTTAAAGTATAGGGGACAACGGGGTCACTTGATGGAAAATGAGTATTTAAACACTTCAGTGGTAAACAACTGCCTATAGACAAAACCAAAGAATTCAATGAATTTAATGAATAATGAATTTAATGCAATGATTGTTATTTAATTAATTTAATTGATACATTCTTTTGTATTGTATTTTATTTATAAGCGTTGAATTTACGAGTAATATCGAATCATATTACATGTTTGTGGTCTTCTGCAATTAGAGATCAATGTCAACGCCATATCAATGTTTTGTTACGTATCATGAATTTTGAAGCTTCATATATTAAATAAATGGCCCAGAATCAATAAATATAGGTCATATACCACAAGTAAAGGAAATAAGTGTCAGTCAGTAACTTAATATTTAAACGTTATCTTTCGAATATCTGAGAGCAGAACAATGGATTACCTTCCTACTAGTAGTAATACTAGTAGTAGTATTTATATTATATTATCAATCACTGGAAGGATTAACTTCTCTACTTCAAAGCTCTGTGTTACCTATGAGATTAATCTGGAAAGCTACCGATTTTCCTATCCACGGAGCAATACAAGCATAATATTTTGTCTATCATCCCAGATTATAAAAACAGTCGAATATGAAAGTAGATAAAACCTTAAGGCTCGATAAAATATAATAATTTAAAGGTAATAAAAGCCGGATATTGGGTAACATAAAGTTACCGAAATCACTGATTCGACAACCAGGCACGTACACCTCGATCCTTACGAAATCTATATAAAAACCTAATTTAGTAAAATTTCTATTCATGACTGTTTATGAGTAAGAACTAGTATTTTGGATTGCTAATACAAAATAAAATGTGAAATTCAAATTACGTTTTGTATCGCTTTTATTCTATGATAATCCACGTAACCTAATAAACATACATTTATTACGTCAAAGGTTAAATCTAAGGGAGTGAGTTGTATATTTGCATTTATTTGGGTAAATATCAAGGTTTGTTTCCCTTTATCAATTAAAAAAGTAATTGACATAAGAACAACACAAAAGCTTGAATCGGGGTGATGATATGAGTGACGATAAAAAGAACTCCCTGGTACCCGGACAGACCCTGGGTCATCTACGGCTTACCTCTCGAGCTTCCTCAAACGAGTTACCTCTTGTTCTCGAGCTAATCCATAACGGATCTTACCTACTACTAATTTTTACCTACTAC